GGGAGGGGGTAGGGCTCAACACCCACCTCCCTGCAGGTATCTGAGACATGCCATAGTCACTAGGTCAGAGGAGGGACCTCAGAAGAAAGTTCTCACTGGCAAACGGCCCTGGTGTCCCTCCAGAGACACCTGCTCCCTGTTCACATCTGTGCTGTAGGAGTACCACGCATTTTTGGTGTGGATCAGGGGGCAGGTGGGGTACCATGTCTGGGAAAGGGAAGGGGTGGTTTCTTCTGGCCGCAACTTGGGCACTGCCAGGTGCTGTGGCTGCTGCTTAGTAGGGCACGAAAGCAAAGCCCCTGTGTGCTCTCCCATATAAAAGCTGCACGTAGGCAAAAGCTCTGCTGATTGAGAAACCCCAAAGGATGTGGCCGCTCAGTGGGAGCAGAGCCAAGCCTCCAGAGAGGAAGGCTTTTCCCCAGCTCTAAGGCTTTTGTGGGTGGGATGAGGTGGACTGGGTCTGTGTGGATTACGGGAGAGGATCCACAAGGCTTCTGCTCTTCCCAGCTGTGTGGAGCAACAACTGTGAGAACGATCCATTTAACTTCCAGATTTGCCTGTTTTCAACTCAGAGTGTAAAGTTTCCCCTGTGTTGGGTCCTGTGGAGGTCAAGCCCATGGAGGCCTGGGGAAGAGCTGGCCAGTTTGCTGTTCCCTCCTCTGCAGACCTTGGCTGTGCATGAGTCTCCTCCCGGTGCTCTAGCATCCGTGCTTTCCTCCTGAATCACAAAAACATGATAAAGGGATGTGAGCCCCAAACCATGGAAGGACTAATGAATGCCCTATTACAGCCAACAACAAATTAACATGCAAATGTTTCCCCAGGTAAACCAGAGGGATGTGCTGCTGGAGGTCACACTTCTGCAGCTGGGATCAGGTAGAAGGAGAGGCAGTGCTATGTGTCTCTAGGGAGAAGAGTCATATTCGGCTCCCTGAGCAGCGTTATCCCAGCTAGAAGTGGGTGGGGTAAAGAAGAGCAATGCCTTTCAAAGACAGCAAATGACACATTTCCTTGGTTTTTATTCTTATTTTATGTTAAACACAACTTTGAAATATTCTGTGGATATATTTATCATACTGTGATAATACAGGATGACTTTACATAACTTCAACTTTCAAACTCCCTTCTGAGAAACCATGAAAAGTACATACCATTAATACCCTGCCTTCTTCACTTTTCAGAAGTGTTCAGTGCAGAACATGGTACATATTATTTCGTGGGGGATCAAACTGAAAGGATGTGTTGACAAAGGGTGCTATTGTCAATGACGGTCTCTCTGGATGCTCTAGGAAGATGTCCTGGGGAAGGCAGCTGACTGAAGGATGCTGCTTGTGCTCCTTGGCCGAGCATACATATGTCAACATGTTCCTGTTGACAAAAAGTAGGGACTTCTGGAGGAGGTTCTTAAGGTTGAAGCCTCTACTATCGAGCAAGATGACAAGGAATGGTTCCTCCATGGGAAAACCTCCATTACCTAAAAAGGTAATTTGTGTTTTCTTATGCATAGGTGAAATATTGAACAAGACTGGCATTGAAGTTTTGCGAAAAAGCATTCCTCACTGAGTAATCAGATGGCTGTTCGTTTGCAGCTTCCTAAAGTACGAATGCCCTGTGCGCCTGGGCTGTGAACACACAGGCTGACAGCAGGCTGTGTGCACATACACAGAGTCGATAGTAAACTGCTATGTGGGATGCATTTCTGTATCTGCAAACAGGATCCCGAATGACACAAATTCCCCTTCTTGAAGTTAAAGCTGTAAGAAGACTTGTCCTGAAGAGCAAAGCTCATATTTGCCACAAAGGATTACCATTATTCACAGGATCTACTTTTCTTTCAGCCTTTGTGATCATTGTAATAGAAGATACATGACTCTAAAGAGGGCAGATTTAGATTAGATATTAGGAAGAAATTCTTCACCATGAGGGTGGTGAAACACTGGCACAGGTTGCCCAGAGAAACTGTGGCTGCCCCCTCCCTGGCAGTGTTCAAGGCCAGGTTGGATGGGCCTTTGAGCAACCTGGTCTAGTGGAAGGTGTCCCTGCCCATGGCAGGGGGATTGGAACCAGATGATCTTTAAGGTCCCTTCCAACCCAAACCATTCTATGATTCCATGATTCTATAATTCTGTGATTCTATGTGTATTACAGATGGAAATCTTTATGGAGGGCAATTGAGGCAACGCCTTGGAAGTATTCTTGTATATTCTTCTAGGGACTGAAAAGCAAAAAACTCTCTGTTTTACGGGGGAGGAAGGGCAAGACAGTTGGTAGCTGTATAAAATAATGTATAGGAAAGGATGACGTTTGTCTGTGGCAAACAGTCTCTTTACCCAAATCAGTTCTGCCTCTCACACACAGATTGAGTCAATGAACTTCGTCTTAGAGAAGACACAAGATCTGACTTCTTACAAGAAATTAATTTTTTTTCCACTGTGGAAAAAGATGCAAAATGTTGCATTTTTCTTTGGTGCAACACTCTGTCTTCCATCTTCTCTGAATGAGTGTGGTTTGATACTTTTCTCGACAAATTTCGTTTTCTCTCCTGGAGGCTGGTCATGCTGCCAAGAGAGGGCAGCAAGCACGCACAGAAACTGCACGCCTGTCCCTGTATTAGGTCACATGGGAATTTAATTTAAGGGATCATTAGCACAGAAGCTCTGTATCTTACAATAATTACTGCTCCATGCACTTAGCCCAATGCCAAAGTTTTTCTTACTGCAAAAGTAAACCTCTGAATTTTTTTCTTTCCTTTGTGTTATTTTTTTCAAACAAAATAAATAAGTACAAATTTCTGCTGGATCATTTGAAAATAAGTTCTGTGCCACAGGAACATAGACAGACAAACACCAGAGGCTCCTCTGGGGACGCTGTGTAGAAGGCATAGACCCCAAACCTGCGTTTCCACAGCTTTACAGGGGACTAAATGCACGTAACAAACGAGTGTACAGCTATATTGTATGTTTATTTCCATGTGTAAGACATTTTCATCATTCATGCTGTCAGCTTCCTACTGAAGGCTGTGTTACCGATAATACACTGCTCTGGTCTCAAATGGGCTGCGTTTTCTCTCAAATCCATCATTCCTGTATGATCCAGAGCCACTTCCTTCATGTGTAAAGTCTGCATGATCAGATCACCACATATTCTTGAAGACATGCTTGTCCCGGTATTTATTGACTTGATCCAGGCTGAACCTGCTTTAGGAAAAAAAAAGTGACCTGGTTGGTTTTAATAAAGTTAATTATTTTTAAACCAAAAGGAGCTGCAGTGTTCTGGCCTCTGCCTCTGGAGGCCGTTGGTTCTCCTGCCCATATTTTTGAGACTACAACTTTAAAACACAACTTTCACAGTGGACTTTCACTTAATGAGGAAAATGTCATGGCCTGATGGAAAATGGAGGCAGAGAGAGGGAGGGTCCGTGTGGGCTTTGTGTTACTGCAGGACAAAAGTACTCTTGTTCTCTGAGGCTCTGCTTTTTCCATGTCAAACATGGATGCTGACGCTTTACCCAGTCGTTTGAAAACACCTGAAGCTCTACCAATAAAATATACTGAAACCAATCTTTAAGGGCAGAAGCACACAGTGCGGAGCAAGATGGGGCTAGAACGGTGGGAAAGCACGAAGCGGTGGATGACTCCTGCTGCCTGCGCTATACTTAGACTTGAACGGACTAATGCTGGCTCAACCTTGTATACAAAAAAAGGAAAAGCTAAGGGTCAGACCGAGACCTAGCTGTAGGAGACTCTGGCAGGCTTCTCAGGGCAGGATTTGCTGGAGGAGCCCGAAGCCCACAGGGAAGGTGTTCAGCCAGTGTCAGACCCGGGAGGCCTCACATCAGAAACCTCTCTGGGTGGCGAAGGGGACACACCTGCGGTCCCACCAGTGACCCTGCACATTTTCCCTCAGCCAGGAGGCTGCGCAGCAACCAGCATTTTAAGGGGAAGGAGAATAAACAAGACGAGGGGAAGCACAGGGAACGAGAGTGGCAGGGTTACGCCAGGCAGACACCGCTCTCCGTGCAGGTACCACTGCCCTTACCGTCCGCGGCCTGATTCTTCCCCAGATGTGCTCTGCAACCTGGGTAAGGGCACTGGAGCATACGTCAATTTAAAGGCCAATTCAGTTGCCTAAGTTCCCTGGAGGGTGTGAACCTTGGCTGCACTTTCATGCTACAGCTAAATTGTTTTGGCAGCTGCTGAAGGTGGCAGGACCCCTCCTGCCCCGCTCTCCCCAGGGCAGTTTTCTCAGGTCTGCCAGCGGCATTAGCAGAATCAAAAATCCCAGCTTCTTCAACTTCTTTGCACAGAGGGAGAATGCTCCTGTAAGCTCAGCTAAAGCTGCACAAATGAAAGTAAAGAAATAAACAGGAGTAAGACAGTGAAAGGCTGGCCGTTCAGTTTTCTGCAGGTGCCTCACCTTGTATCACCTCCCCAGAGCAGAGGCGCTGGCTGCACAATGCTGCTGCACAATGCTGCTGGCAGCTGTGCAGCCCCTGTGTCTCTGACTGTCACGCATTTTGGCTGGGGTGAGAGCGCAGATCACACAGGGGACAGATGAGCTTCCACTCTGCCATCCCCATGCAAACATCTTCAGCAGAGCATCTCCCTTTGCACCACAGCAAAGAGCTGGATGCCTCTGGATGGACTTTCCTATTAGTGGTGGCTGGTGGGTCTCCATGGGAGGTGCCTGGCCTGCTTGCAAGCTGGAGAATGCTTGGCATCGAGTTCATCTGCAAAAAGGGCTGGGAACTACTGAACTTGCATATCAGCTTGATACCCGTTCTCTCAGCATTTCTGCCTGCCTTCATTAGCACAAGTAATAGCTTCCTCTAGTCAAGCCAGTTTATTACATAAAAAAGGCAAGGAATTGTTTTTTTTCACATTGTCCTAACACTCAGTTCTCTTGATTTTTTCTTTCTTTTTTTTTTTTTCCCCAAATAATGGAGAAAGCAGACATCAGCCACACCAACAAATAATTTTTGTCTGTGCATATTTTTCAAAATGAGAAGTACTAACCCCAGACAAACCACTCTCAGGAGAGAGCAGCAAAAAGCTAACAGCTTGAGAACAGGTCTAGGAGGTTCCAAGCCAATTAATGAACTGTCTGGCCTCTCTGCTGCAATCAGAGAGCCCACAAGAAGGCCTTCAGGAGTTTGCAGTAGTAATGAGACTACTGAGGCTGTTTTCTGTAAGCTTGTGATGCTGTGTGCTGACAATGATGCAGATGAAGCCATCCAGATCCAGAACCTGCTGCAGTATGTATTTTGTATTAAATCTGGAATAGTCTTTGCAGTGATGCCTTGTAGTGAACATGTGTTAGAAAACTTCAGTGATGCTGTGAATGGTTCAGCATGGACTATTATGCTACTGACAAAATTTTCTGAATGCATCTTTGTATGTGTTTCAGTCTTTCACCTCCCTTGTCAATGCTCTTAACAGCATAAATTACAACTCTGTGATAACTGTGAGGCCACTGAATAACCCACTTACCCAGGAGAAGACCCTTTTTTTATTTTGCAGGCTGTTAATGCACTGTAAGAGAATAGTCCTGGCTTTGCAAAAGAAGTGGAGAAAATTTTCTGTGAGTCTAAATACACACAACAGTGAGAGATATGGAGGGAGGAAAGCACGAAACAGAAACCAGAGCATTTGTCATGGTGAAAAACTGTGAAGGCAGACCATGTTTAGAATACAGCAGAAGTGATATTCTTTGCTCTTGTTTTATAAAGGAAGGGAAACTCTTCTTTTGACAAAACTAATGATACAGTCCACTGCCAAGGCATGTTAATTAAGTATTGCTTATACTCCGTATACAAAGGCATGCTTGTCACTGTGTCTACTCAGAGGTATAAGACGCTGGCAAACCAAAACCCTAGCTATGTTTGGCTTTATCTTGTGAGCTCTGCCAGACATCTATTGTTTCCCATTAACAACATACAGCTTTTCGCATCTCATAGCTGGTACTGAAAAATATTAAAAAGAGGAATACTTGTCATCACAAAGAAATCCATGTGTTATGAAAGGCACTCTATCAAAATCACTGCCACTTTGAGAAATGAGCATTTCAAATATATATATATATATTGTTTTGTTACCTTTGGGATTTTTTCCTACAAAGAAAACATTTTTTGATGTCTTTTGTTATTTCAAGAAACATTTTCGTGGCTTATTCTGACTAAACTTTGTTTGACGCATACTTCAAGGGAAAGCATTAGATAGTTATATTGGAAAAAATATTGTGGGAGACTGTGTTTGTCTTCCAGGCAAGTGTCCTGGGCTGAGGCTGGAAAAGGAGAGCCACAGAAATGGCATTGGTTTGAATTACTTGTATTTAGTGCACTTCACTTATCCCAGTTCTTAAGCATATTTGAACAGATTTAAGACAGATCTTGAGTGTTCTTTTTTTCCTCCTGTACTTGATAGGATTGCTGGCTGTGATTCAGTAATCCAGCCTGCATTAGCTTTCACTGTAGTTTTGTATCGCTGATGTGGAATATAATTACTAAAATAGCATTGGAAATCCTTGCTTTTCCTCGTGTAATTTAAATTAAAACATGATAATTTATTATTTTCTGAATGACTGAAATCTGGTTGTTCCAAATGTAAGGACAGTCTGCTCTGAGCAAAACAATTTGTTCCTTGCTGAAGAGAAAAGGCAGCAAGAGGGGCTTTAGTGTCTGAATCAGCATCGACACCATGCTTGTGGAAGGTAGCTGGCGTGTTTGCTGTTCGATTGCCTGCACATGGCATGATTTTGGACACAATGTTTTGTGTTCTGCCTCTGTTCTCAGCTTTGCAAATGAACAGAATAACAGCTATATATCTCTGTCTCAAAAAATCAGCTCAAGAATCAGTTATGGAGACGCAATGTGCTTCACCCACATGTGGGTTGTACTCTTGTCCCACAGGAAAGAAAAGTTGCGACACCGGGGGGCTGCTGAGTGTCCGCAGCCCTTGCAAAGTGCCCTCAGTGCAGCTGGTCATGGTGCCTGGGATGGCAGAAAGTCCTGAGCAGGGTAGGGGGTTTCTCAGTTAATCATCCCCAGTGTCCCCAGTGTTGTGGGTGATGCCCATGGACAAGGGGCAGCTGCCTGCAGGCAGAGGGGCACTTCTGCCTCCAGCATTGGGGATGGAGTCACCGTAACTGGGGGGGGCCCAGGCCTCTGCTCCCCTCTGCCCCCCTTGCCACCACAGGCTGGCTGGAGCCACCCCAGCTCCTTGAGCAGAGCCACAAGCACGGTGAGCACGGGTGGAAGATTTCGGCTGTGGGAGGCTTTCAGAGTTCCTGTGTCAATGCTGATTCATTTAAGTGCTCTCTACAGTATTTTTTACCCTTTTTCTCCCCCCCTCCCCCTCCCCCCCGTGTAAATGTACTTTATCCTGTGATGTTTAAAATAGTAAACATAAGACAACTTGTCTATAGCATACAGTCTATAAACCATACCAGTAGGAGAACTATGCAAAGAAGACAGACGAAAAAGAGAATGTGAAGAAGTCTAAGAGAAGCAGGAGTAGATCTGGCCTGTCCTGGGCTGTTACACAGCGAAGTGTTTCCAAAAAGTGAAACCCATTCTCAGGCTTGGACCAAACCTCAGCAACCCAGAGACTCCAGTTCCTGCGCTACTGAGCTCCTGCATTGTTGCTGCTAGTTATTTCTTCCACCTCTGTAAAATCGTTCCTTCTGGCTGATCCTGGGAGATAACAGTTACTTCGTTGGTGAGAAGCCCATACATGTAGGTAATTTCCTACTGTGCAGCTCTCGGGCAATGTTTGAGGGTTAAAGTCCCCAGGTCATTTACGCTTTAATGTTGTTCTCTTTCAGTATCTAGTTCAGAAAAAAAGTGTTCCCGCAAGTGTTACTGTCAGCTCATACTCCTGCATACTGCCTGCAAGAACCACACAGACAGTTATCTTGTATGCTAGGTGCGTACAAATAACAATTGCCATCTTCTTTTCATGCAGAAATGTGCAACTTGTCACAGCTGACCACTGCCCATCCTCCTGTTGGTTTTACCTGGATGCTTAGTGTGCTGCCCTGCCAACTGACAGCTGCCTGGCCGTTAAGAAAGGATCTGTCTGGGAGCTGCAGACTCCAGCTGAACCAAACTCCTGTTACTTGTCTAAGGCTGCATTTGCTGCTGACTGCAGCTCTGCGGTACCTCTCCCGGGCAGCTGCTTTCGCACTATTTGCAGAGTTCCCCGAGCACTGCAGCAGAATGCAGTACTTAAAAGGGTACATGGGGATACTCTGGCAAAGGGAGGAAATTTGTATCCCTTGATAAGAAAAGTCTAATAAATGCGTATGTAATTCAACTGTGACCTGCCTCTGCTCTCACTCACGGATGTGAGTGCAGGTAAAGGAAGCTGAGTGACCCCCCAGCTGCCTTTGGTATGGTAAGAGAAAAACAGTTCAGAAGTGATACTGTGATCCGGTAGGAAAAACCTAACAGTACCATGCATACTGTTCAGCA